AAAATATGTAAATGGATTAATGCCTATCCTCCATGCTGAACTGCATTCTGTAAAATGTAATATAAAAATGCTGAAAAGAGGGGGGAAAAGGAGACATGTGTAATACTCTTTGTAATACTTTAAGAAATAAAACAAAATTAAATTTAAAAAATTGCCAAAACCGGTTTGGCTCAGTGGATAGAGCGTCGGCCTGCGGACTGAAAGGTCCCAGGTTCGATTCCGGTCAAGGGCATGTACCTGGGTTGCGGGCACATCCCCAGTGGGAGATGTGCAGGAGGCAGCTGATCGATGTTTCTCTCTCATCGATGTTTCTAACTCTCTATCTCTCTCCTTTCCTCTCTGTAAAAAATCAATAAAATATATTTAAAAAAAAATTAAATTTAAAAAATAAAAAATAAAAAAAAATGCTGAAAAGAGTTAACTCTACATTGGCCTAAGGTGCCGATATTATTAGTATTTGTCCTACCCACCAAAAGATATGTCACAAGAGAGAGATAATCTAAGCCAGGGGTCTCTCAAACTATGGCTCGCGGGCCACATGCAAATACAAATATTGTATTTGTTCCCGTTTTGTTTTTTTACTTCAAAATAAGATATGTGCAATGTGCATAGGGAATTTGTTCATAGTTTTTTTTTAAACTATAGTCCGGCCCTCCAACGGTCTGAGGGACAGTGAACTGGTCTCTCTTGTTTAAAAAGTTTGAGGACCCCTGTTTTTAGATTATGAGTAGCCAAGAGGCCCAGACATGTTGTGGGGGCCTGCCTTGCAGCCTCAGGGAGGCGGGGTAGTACTGGGGCTGGCCTCCCTCTCCGGCCCCAGCCCAGTGTGCCCTCTTCTCTCTCCTTCCGGTGGCCCCAGGCGATTGAGTGCATCACTCAGGGACGGGAGCTGGAGCGGCCACGGGCCTGCCCGCCGGAGGTCTATGCCATCATGCAGGGTTGCTGGCAGCGGGAGCCCCAGCAACGCCACAGCATCAAAGACGTGCACGCCAGGCTGCAAGCCCTGGTCCAGGCGCCTCCCGTCTACCTGGACGTCCTGGGCTAGAGGGCTGGCCAGGGTCTGGGGCTGAGAAGCCAGAATACTGGCACCCGCCCTCAGCAACCCGATTCCCAGCAGCCCCAGGGTGATCTCAACGCATCTAACTCTCCCTCAGCATGCGGGAGGGGCCAGGTGGGGTCTGGGAGGGTGGGATGTGCCCCCTTCTCTAGGTAGACTTCTGTCACAGCAATTATATTTATTATCCCTTGGCTGTGTCTCTTGCCAATTCTTGGGATGACGTCGTTCCGGGAGTGGGGTACGGGACTCAGGTAGGGGGTGACTCTCTGGGATCCTCCCCGCCTTTGGTTCCCCTCAGCACCGACCCCTACTCCAAGGAGCTGTTACTCCACCTGTGGCTGTGGTTTGCCCCCCAGTCCTGGTCACCTTGTGTACCTGGTGGTGAGGAGGCCTCAGGTGAAGCTTGTCAGGCCTTCAGACCCTAATTGCCTGTCTCCGTAGTTCACGTTCAGGGGTCGGGCGCTACAGTGGGAGGGGTGGAAGTTAGCTGTCATGGTGGACAGGATGGAAACATTGGTGGGGTGAGTCTTCCTTGCTCAGGACAGAGCAAGCACACAGTAGAATTAACGGATGAGAGAGAAAGAGAGGAGAGAGAAAGAGAGGATGTGTGTGTGTGTGTGTGTGTGTGTGTGTACACATATGGCAGGGAAAGGGAAGGAGCAGGATGAAGGAATGGTGAGGGAGGCAGAACCCCTTGTCGCTTCCCCTCCTTCACTCTTCTTGGCAATAAAAGCTTTAAGATCAGCATCTGGGCCCTAGCCGGTTGCTCAGTGGTTAGAGCGTTGGCCCCAGGACAGAAGGGTCTCAGGTTCCATTCCGGTCAAGGGCATGTGACTCAGTTGCGGGCTCGATCCAATCCATGTGTCTCTCTCACATTGATGTTTCTCTCTCTGTCTCTCCCCCTCCCTTCCACTCTCTAAAAATCAGTTTTAAAAAAAAGATCAGCATCTGGAGGCCCAGGACTGGACAAAGCCAACTCCTGCCCCCTTCTGCCCAAGGGGGTCTCCTTTCCCCTCTCCCCCTTGGAACACTACTGCCCTTACGGGGTGGCCTGAGGCTCCTGTCAGCATGGAGGGTGCGCAAGGCCCCTCATCCCCAGGCCTGGGCCCTGCCCCCATCTCCCTCACCCCAGAGCCAGGGAGGAGCAATCTCCCCCCACCCCAGCCCCATCACTTTCAATCACCTGCCCAGCTCCTGCAATAACCCACGTTCCCCACAGCTCCTCGGGGCTAATGGCACGGCTGCCTCATGTCCCTGGGTGCACAGCGCTCCCTACACGGTGATTCAATCTGGGTCTTATCACCCCTAGGCCTAGCCCTATGGTGTCTGCCTCTTGTCCAGGCTGGTTAGTGCTAATGGAGGTCTGACCAGGGCTGCAGGCTGATTGATGGGAGGCCTGGCCGCTGAGGGCAAGTTCGCAGGCCTCCTCTCCTGCCCTGGGGTGGGTGGGCTGGTGCTGCACTACCCCAGTGAGGGAGGCTTCAAGCAGATGGAGTCATTGGGAGGAGAAGGGGTGGGAACCTGGAGGGAAAAACAGGGGGGGAATAGATCTGACAGGTGAGCCTAGGGACAGAGAGACAGTGCAGACAGATGGGGACAGACCTACAGGTGTGGAGGCACGTGGAGACTGCAGAGAGAGACAGCAAACAGAGCGGAGACAGACATACACACGTGGGTGGACAGAGGAGGGACAGAGAGACAGGTGAGTGGACAGCGGCGGAATCAGTGTCCTGGAGAACAGCATGGACTCCCCCAGCACTTTCTATCTCACCTGCACGCCCACCCTCCCCGCCTCTTCTGCCCCTTGAGCCTCTCTTCAGGGTTAAGGGTGGGGGGCGGGGGGGGGGGACTCCCAGCCTTGGAGACTCTGTGTTAGGCTCAGGGCTCTGAGTTTCAGCCGACATTGAACAGGACTGAAGCAGAGGGGATGGAGGGCAGGTAGCAGAAGGGACCTGCCAGGGCACGTGTAGCATTTCCAAGGTCCAGAGCCTCAGAGACTTTAACATCACCAGCTGGAGGTCTTGCTGGAAAAGCTGGGCAGGTGAGGTGAAGGGGT